TCACTGAAGAAAGTGATTTTATTCACATACATTTGTTCTTGTTCTCTCTTCACTCCTGTCTTCTGTATAACTATTGTCGATTACAAACTACTTATTTTTGTGATGTATGAACACATGTGTAATATATATATATATATATATATATAATATATATATATATATATATATACCCGGTTTATAATCTCATGGTGTCAGGCAAATACTAATTCTATACTGTATAATTTTTAGATTGGGAAAAATAATATTCTAGTTATCGATTATGCAACTAAATTTTCTGCCATTTAAAAATAGTATTGGAACTTATTGACACATATTGTCTGTGAATTGTCAACTACAAAAAATACAAAATCCTATGGTTAAGTCCATACTTGCCTACTTTCAGGAACAAATTTAATTTCTAAGTTAAAATACTATGAATATGCTTTACATTAAAATTAAACTAGATTCAAGGCATAATTCAGTTTAGAAATCCCAATAAAATTATGAAATAAGGATATATACTTTTTTTACGTAGATATTTTTGTTAGTATCCAGCTGTTGTTTTAATTTGGTATATTCATCGTTTTCGTAGATTTGAGTAGCTTTGACTAAATATTTTACGAATCACATTCTGGTTTTGAAAGTTCAATTTCATCTAATCTTTATGCAGTAACAACCGAATTTTTGAGAAATACTCACTGGGTTTTGTTTCTGCCAGATACGACCCTATCACTTGATTTGCATCGATTTTGTTATTATTTTTAATCGCATAATAAAGTCCTGTGACGAAAAACATGTTCAGAAAAAAAGATTCTCCATTTTAATCATATTTTTCTGATTGTCTAAATGTGAAATCCTGAAAATCGAATTGTTTACATCATACGTATGTATAAATAAACAAGATCAACAAAGAGATGAAACAGGCAGACAGATAGATAGAGGACTTGTTAGACAATAACAAATAAGCTTATTTGCATACAGGCAATGAAAAAAGTTAAAGCATTGAATTAATTAGTCTATTTGTTGTTTAAGGCTTTTAAATAGTATAGTTTTTGATAAACAATTCATACTATGTAATTATAACAATGTTTTCAGAAAATCACATGTTGACCGATCTGATGAACGATTCATAGGTTCTAGTTATAACGATATTTTCTAGGAAATTTCATGTTTCCTATTATTATAAGACTATTCATTTACAAACACCTCATGTTGACAAACTGATTGATACTGAAATGTGATGTCAGTCTTTAAATCTACTGTATCATAGCCATTCGTTTGATTTGAAGAGAGATGACTACATAACAAAATACTGAACCCATTTTTTTCTGTTTTTTCGTAATACTAAATTTACTTTCATGTGGTTAACACTTCATAAAATAAATTATCACTTAAAACTGTTTTCTAACAGTAAGTTTACAATTTTTCAAACACTTTCTAACCATTCGTTTTGGTTTCCCTGAGATACCATTCTCGTCACGGGATGTGAAGTTCATTCGCTCAGTCTTTATCGTTAATATTGGTCTGTACTAATCGTTGTCATAATTTGTGTAGATTATTATCAGTAGATTGTGTATGAAATACTTCATCTTTTTAAAATCATGCTACTTACGTTGACATTATAAAATTTGTCTTTATTACTATCTATTTAGCATAATGTGTAACATTTCTTCAAACTAGTTTATCACTTACTTCCTGTTACATAAGACTCTAATTGTAAAATAGAATGTGATTGATTTCAAAAACTGACTTGAGTTAGACATCTATTGAAAACTATAAAACATTGGATCGTTGTTTCGTACATGTATTCTATTCTTCAGAGTTGGATGCCCAACTCATCCCGGTTAGTGATATCAATAACACTCAATAATCTCCAAAAACCTCTTTATTGATAAAACCGTCTCAAAAAGCGTACATTATTGATGATTTTGTTTTTCTTGTCTACATTTGAGCATCATTTTTTATATTCCCTAACGATCAGCAATTTCAACAATTAGACTTCCCATTTTCCTTAAAAGTAATATTGAATTTCTTACTTATCTAAACCGATTTAATACACCTTGTGCTTATCATTTGTAATAAAACTAATCTGTTGTTATGATTCCTCTTATTCATCCATTAACTAGTTTTTTAATCAAAAAAGCAATCATTAAATTAATTTGCTATAATAACATTGATCATGTATTTTAAACGTCTTTTATTATTATTTTGAACATTACTGTCAAATCAAATTACGTTTATTTTTCTAACAATGTAGTCCACTGAGTAAACAAATCTCTTTAGCTGATAATGGCATGTGTATGTGTTTGCGTGTGTTTATAATCATTTTTGTTTGTTTTTTTCACTCGGTTGAAACTTACTATCATGTTCAGATTATCTTATTCATAGATGGAGTTGTGTGTTGCAAAATATTCCTCACTCAGAATGAAATAAATGTCTATTCGCACTTGGTTTTCGACAGTTCTCTAGTTTGTATTCATGCCAAATTAAATATATCTTCATGAAGTGGTTTTCTTGCATGTTCGTTGATTTTACAGTTTTCTAGTGCTTGGTTGTGTTCATGTTATATTTAATGAGATTAGTGATGTACAAAGCCCATACCTCCAATTACGTCTATTGTATCGCAGTGTAATTTTTATATATCACTCTCAACCTCTTTTCATTGACATTATTAAGTTTCAAATGCATTACGTCTTTACCAGTCTCTTGGTATTATTACCGTTAGGCATTATTAAATTACTTATGTTATCTATTTATTTACTTTAAATATGAAAATACTTTAAAGTTAGATGTCAAAGGTTAACTCCTATACTGAATGATTCAACAAGATACAATGTATAAGTTATTTGTGTGCGCCAGATAGCTGTGATAAGCTACAAATAATTCTATACCTTTTATTCTCATAAAAAGATAAAACAATCTTTAGTAAATAACGTTTCATTTATACTTAATTAGTGCAAACAATAATGCCTTTAATAATCCAAATAACGGTTTTCTAGAACATTCAATCGTTTGAGTCATAATTAACTTAATCACTTGTAAAGTAAACTTTATTTTTGACTTAACCCCCAGTTTTTATTCGTTATATTTGGTCTCACAATTTTTTTTTCGTTGGATACTCAAAAGGTCTATAGGACACTCACCAATAGCATTTCCAAGATTTATCTGTATATTTATACAAAATAGACCTATTGAACATGTTACCGCTGTTCATATTCAAGTAAATCATTACGGATGGTAAACTTTGAATTCAACAATCGTTTCCTAGCAGCCGCACATTTTGTACTCTCATCTTTATGAACACGTAGACAATGGTTATCTACAGTTAAAAACTGTACACATAAAAAGTGTATTCTCATGTTATGGTAACAATCTTTAGTTTTTCCAATGCATGTTTGCACTCGGTTAACTCCCAACTTCAAACTAATGTAGATTAACGCAAGCAGAATTCGAAGTTTTTCAAGACTATGTTATATATTAGCATAGCACGTTTCAAACAACTTAACTACCCTTTTACTTATCATGAAAGTCAATTCTGAAAAATTAATGTCAACGTAGACATATTGGAATATAAGAAAAATGATGATAATAGTCAACAAACAATATGAATCGTATCACTCTGTACAACAAATCAATACTACCAAATTAGTTCACTTGATATTGTTTTATTTGAATCTTCCCATTGATGTTTTTGGACTGAAATTGATCAGTCTCTTATTGGCATATGTGCATACTGTGCGTATGCCTCGATATTGCCTTAATTTACAAGCATTGTAAGCAAAGATGGATAGTGGCTAGCAGTGGAATCCAGGACGCGCGTTTCGTCCTGTTTGGGACTCGTCAGCTGGATGTACCTGCATCTCAGAGTTGATGTTCACTCTGGGACTCGAACTCAGTACCGTCCGCTTCAAACGCCATCGCGTTATCCACTTAGCTACTGAGTCCTGATAGCCACTTGCTTGTGCAATGGGTTGAAGTTTAATTCACTTGATATTGTTTTATTTGACTGATCAATTTCAGTCCAAAAACATCAATGGGAAGATTCAAATAAAACAATATCAAGTGAATTAAACTTCAACCCATTGCACAAGCAAGTGGCTATCAGGACTCAGTAGCTAAGTGGATAACGCGATGGCGTTTGAAGCGGACGGTACTGAGTTCGAGTCCCAGAGTGAACATCAACTCTGAGATGCAGGTACATCCAGCTGACGAGTCCCAAACAGGACGAAACGCGCGTCCTGGATTCCACTGCTAGCCACTATCCATCTTTGCTTACTACCAAATTAGGTTTACTGTAAGTACAAATTGTTTTTGAAGACACAAACGGGGCTCAAGTATGTGAACTTCATAAAATTAACCATAAATTAGACCTTGTGGCTTTGCACACAATATTTTGGTTTGTTGAAGTCGTAACCAAACGAAAGTTAAAATCCTTCGTTTTTCTATCCAAAAGCTATTCGTATTTGATCTAAACCCATCCATATATTATCAATTTAGTATCCAAGATTGTATTGTTCTTTTTTCTTTTAATATCCGCTTTCCTTATTCTTGAATTTGTCTAATTGACGTTTATCATAACATATATAAATCCTGTTATAAGTAAATCTGTGATCTAATTGTTCAAAGAATATTGTGCTAATACGTCACATAGTTTCGATAAACTTCGTCGTTTCATTTAATTGTCTAAATTTATCAAAGTGACTAACTGTTTTGAATAGATTTACCATTAACTTCCTTTTCTCCCGCGTAATACTCTTTATTTCCCTGATTATATATACATATAGCTGCTTTTTGTTATCCAATATTCAATAATTTGTTTACATAAACATATAATTAATGACCGCTCAAGATTGTACATGAATTTGACCGAACATTGTTCAAATTTCTCAGTCAACTAATAAAATTTATCTATCTGAATCTGTTTTTTTGTTTTTGCGATTAATTTAATAGTCAACAGAAATTATTATTATTATTGTGATCTTGACAATCCGTTGTTTTACGTCTACTTTTCTTTTCTTCAGGTTCTTCTTGATGTGTTATGGTTTTGTAAATTTGGCTTCAATGCTTAATGGATTCTTGAAAGAGCCCAGTTGGCGTCCAAGATTTCGGTTCTACCATTGGTATGTATGAAACAGTTTTTTTTAGTATTAAACTTTCCACTCTAGTATTACCACTATATTACTTTACAAATGTCAGTGTAATAAATTACCTTTATATGTTATTAGTTATTCAATTTATAGTTGATTTTATGAAATTCGATGTATCTGTTCTAGTAACAATTTGAAGGTTTTGTTCCTTGAAGCAATTTAGAAACCGTTTGTTTCGTAATAAATTGCTTATTAAGCCATTTGTTTAAATAGATGAATACTAATAGTAGTTACATAACAAGTAGATTTTGATTAAGAAAAGACTTTTGTGCAAATAAATAGAAAATTCATATTGGCAAGATAAGATCAATTACAAATCACATAAAGGATTGTGCTGAAAACTTTTTCAGCCACTTTAGCAGATCTACATACGTATCAATGGTCTGTCTCCACCTCTATCAGATAGAGTTCGATAATTAAAAGGTTAAGTGTACAATTTAGTTTCGATAAGTGTTAATTACTGAACTCTTCACGAGCATTTTCACATCTCATTTCTGTTTCCACCTTTGGGTCTATATTTCTAGAATATTAACTTTTCTGAGATGTTTCCATTCAAAATTTTGTCTTTGTTTCTTCCATTTACTTCTCGTTTCTATCATATACGATACGGATATTCATTAAACTTACCATAAAAATGTCTTCAGAAGATTATTTTTCAGTATAAATCAGTTAAACCCTTCACTTAAAATCACTTACAATTTAAAAACAAAGAAATGAAGATGGACTGAAAGGTTTTCATTAGGATATTCTACTTGTTAGCACTCATCACTGCTAAGTTATATATATAAAATCCTTGAGAAAGAGTTTTTATAGTGTCCTGATCTGATTGGTAATTTTGAGATATCTGGAAAACATCTTATTCTTAGTATATTAAGATTTAGTTCACAAATCAATGATTCAAGTTAATAAAATTTTCCTAATCTATTGATAAAACCTGTCCAATATCCTATTTTTCTTGATATACAAAAATAGAGAAAATATACAAGCATACAATGTATTACTTTAAAACAAAAGAATATATATATATATATAATGAAATTCTGTATGATTAATTTGTTTTCTTATTTACTGATATACTATATGTCAACTGCAATTACATCTTTGCATTCATTCACTCACATTAATTACAAATAATTTTTATTAAAAGTGATAGTTTAAGCAAGCTTATTCTTGTAGGAAAAGATTTAAGTTCTTTTTTTATGGACAATTCTAGAAAAAAATTGAATAACCATCTAAAACGAAAAGATGAACAAAGCAAACAAATACTCAATTTCAATTTGTTTTTTTGGATATTTCACTAAACTATCATCAATTCTATCTCTGCATTATTATGTAACTAAGTGTTCTAATTCATTCATTTATTAATATTTTTGACGATTAAAATTACAACATTCACATTCATGTTTTAATTACTTTGTTAATCATTCGCTATTATTTTCACAAGTTCGACATGTATTATAGTTATCTAACATATTCCCACTTCATTGTTATCGACTTTATCATTATTGTTAATATAAATCCACAAAGCCAAAATAGAAAACTAACTGAAAGGAAGTACTTTTTCTATTAATCTTGTTCTTACATCTTAATAAGGAGTTCTAATTTATTGAAATGATAAGATTATGAGTACTATTTATCCGTGTGTGCAAAGTAAATTTAAATAAACAGCTCTTACAGATCAACAAATTACTTAATGGTCTAATTCTTATTGATAATTTTTTTCTGTGAAATACTTTTAACGTAGATCTAATTAGCTGACTTAACTAATAACTCATTATTAACATGAGTATCTACAGGATGACAGAATAACAAGATCATTTAAACTGGGAAAGAAAGTAAACTGTTCAGATTCTAACTTGGTGCTTTATTAATTGATAGATGCAATAACAAAGTTTAGGCACCCAGTAAGTGTCCACATTACTTACGAATGTTAAATTAACCTCCAACAACTCTATCGCCTTTCTTAGTTTTAGATGGCTTTTGATACTCTTCTATTTAAAATCTTAATTTATAAGTAATATTGGATCATACACCATTCTTTCATTTCTTTCTTCCCGTGTTTTGAAAGTGATAAATCGAGCAATAGTCTAGTAATTACATGCTCACGTTGTTTAGGTGTTTTCATGTTAACTTGCATCACAAAGTATTTCTAAATATCGTATCCTGTTATGAATTTTCTTTCACAATTTATTCAGTAACTGACTCTAAATATGATACGTAATTTTAAAGATATAATGAATAAACATGATATATAGTTAAAAAAAAGGTGGATACACTGATCAACGATCATTCAATTCCTAAATAATGATAAATGATCATCCTTATACATTGCTCATACATACAAGGAATGACATGTCACGTAAGTTACTGAATAGTAATATAGTTCAACAAAATACGGTTCGTTTAAGCGAATATCTGAAATTATAGAAAATAGATAGTATTTTCAAAAGGCAGTATTGGTTTATAGACAAAATTGTTAACTTTTTTTAGTATTGGTCGTAACATATGTAACTTATCAAATAAATGTACTTAGTTGTTGTCTCGTTAGTAATCCGACTATAGATAACTGTTTACGATTCTAAAAAAAATACTAGTTATTATTCCAGATGAAATGTCTTATATTTGTGTATATGTTTCCACTCTAAGATTCAAACTGATCATTCAAGTTATCATTTCTGTTAAGTAATCTGTTCGTATACAACAAAGGGGGATAAAAACCTGAATTATCGTACTACAAACCGTATAAATTAATTTAGTGAAAAATATAGAAAGATGTTTTCAAGACTTGATTGGATATAATACATTTGTACCACCTTCAAACAAAACCGTCATTAGCCTTTAACGAAGCCCTCACACAAAGTAATAAAAAGTTATAAACATAGCGATAACTTAAACATTTGTAACTTTTCGATTTTATGAAACTATTTAATATTTTCACCTCTTATCACACATTTTTGACATTTCGCATTGGTTTTGGTTAGGTTTGATTTCTTTTTACAGTTGTTCAGTATGAATAGGCTATATCAAGTGTGGTGAACAGGAATACAAGCGGGGACAATCGAGTGGTTTGAACAAAAATTACAGAATGTTTTAGTAAAATCTGAGAATTATACAGTAAATACTTAATTTGCAAAATGTCAATCAATTGTTTCAGACTCCTTTTTTTGTTTCCCCATCAATCATTCCTTGTTCTTGTTCTCTTTTCTTTGATCTTCTTAACCTTCTGCCTCCAGGCATTTTACTTTCGATTGATGATACATGCTACTTATATCTGTCGACATCAGTAACACACACCACACTAGCACACATTTGTTTTGCTGCACTTCGAATCCTCGGTTAAGTCTATTTCTTATTTCTATGATGACGTTGAAGAAAAAATATAAAACTTCATTTGAAAATAAAAGATTGAATTCTCACACTAGGGAACATCGATCAGAAAGTAACTATTCATCATTCACAAACGATAAATGAAGAATAACTAACAAACCTGATGAAATGTAAAGTGAGCAATATCATGAACACGGTGGAATGTTGAGTATGTCATGTAGTCTTGGTGAGAAATAATAGATTCAGATGCTTTTGTATTTTATATTCTGATTGATGCAAGGTCAATTCACTCTTCAAGATAACCGATCCAGTTACTTGTTCCAAATTTTCGGTCGAAAAACAATCTAAATTAACTCTGTATTAGTCAATCTTAATAAATAACTCATTTTGTAGCAATATATATTCACCTATCGTATGGGAAATATAAAGTCAAGTGTGAAGAGCGTTTACTTAACACATTAAATAAGCCAAATAATTGGTGTTTAAATAATTATTTTTTCCTTAGTTATAGATACATTGACTATTATTCTGTTACTGGTACATTTTTAGACCTCTCTTTATTGATCTACGGAACCTTTATATTATTATGTGAATGAAATCAAATGATAAACAAAAATGTCTTAGTGAGGTTTCATTACCCTGTCACTAAACTTTGGTCCTCCCTCTATTCATCTGGCCTCAAATAAAACAGTTTCGTCGCTTTAGTCAACAACCTATACCAATTGATCTTGAAGTTGTGACCAACCACTTATATATCTACATTTCAGTCCCTGTTAGATTTTGTTTATTTGGTTGGAATATTACAACTAATCCAATCTAATCACTTTTTTTTATTCTACGTGGTATCGTTTACGGCTAAAACTAGTGACATTGGTGTGAATCCTATACGGAACATCAGCTTCTTAGAAGCTTTAAATGTATTTTGCGCATTAATTTCAATGCTTCATGTTTATTATCTTCAATCACTTAACAGTCAACAATTCATCATTAAATGTGTTGGTACTTAGTATTTTAACTGTTTTTTTATTCTTATATAAAGAACACTCAAAAATGAAGTCATCATTGGTTATTCAAAGCTGTATTGCGAAATATCTGCTTAGGAAGAAAACTCGTATTTAAACTACAGAAACTAGTTAGTTTACACCAACTTCACTTGTTTTTTTTCTCGGCAGTTTTATCGCTTATTTTCTCATTTTTTCATAAATATTCCCTCTTTTTCTTTCTGATGATGAAATAAACAAGAATTTGTAATTAAGTGCTAATAGCAACCATATTTTGTAATGGCTCATTCTAGCCGTACGATTATGTCCACGTTCGGACAGATTGTAACTGAAGGCATAAGTCAATGACATATTTAACAAATGATCAAATTTTAAATTTTGAGATGCAGCTCAACAAAAAAGAGGTTTCTAGTTGATTAATTATATTATTTATTGAAAGTCACGAATCATTTGTTTATGTACTAAATATGATTTACTGTTAATCAGTAGTGCTTACGTAACAAGAAATTTGCATGCGATGATTTATTTATCTTTGCTAATTATATAGTCATGAAGAGCATAATTCAGCACACTTGAAAAGGGAAACAAGCAGGATAATGTTTCATTTTTTCAGCAATCATAACACTCATATACTTCACTATTTTA